CAAGCACAAGCGGAAAAGTATACTAGAAAATCTCAACAATTTATATTAATTCATGAATGAAACCCTATAAACTCTAGGATTCGCCGATTTAAACAATAGTGAACTTTAGTTGCACATATTCAAGGACAAAGAAGAATTACAAGGCAGAAGACTAGTTCATTAGAGATCCTGCACACTTAGCTGCATATAAGGTTGAGATGTTCGGTACAACTCTTCTACTACCTAAAGACTGGAATCCACATCACATGCGAGTGTGCATGTCACAGAGCTCTTTCGCCTTGCCAACAACTTGCTAATTCAGTTTCTCTCGTATACAGGAGACTTTGTCTATTGCATGGAGGTAATAATGGTGCTAGAGCTTGGCTGGACATACAAATATATGTTGGGTGCAAATGATATTATGAATGCTTTCCTTGAAGCTATGACAAGTGGGACTCCCTTCGTTGAAACTAGCAGGTATTATATTGCTTTAGCGGATGCACACAGGCTGCTGCAACTACTGGTTTTTACGTGGAAGCTTCTTGCAGGCTCATGAACAGTCCACACTCATGGTAGGGATGGCAATGGGTCGGGTTTTGTCAAAGCCAAACCTATGGGTTTATCTGCCAAAAAAACCGGAGTAAAACCCGTTGGGTTTGAAAAACTCAAACCCAACCCAACCCGCTGGGTATCCACGGGTTCATGAATACCCGTGGGTTTTTGTGGTAAAAAATTTACAATAACAAGTTTCTTTCCAAATAAAATTTTAACATCAATTTTGTCATACAAATTAATCATAAAAAAAAACACCAATCTAGAGCATAAAAAAAATCAAATTGTACACTAGACACCCATGACAAGATTCAAGATCCATCAATCAGAGGAATAAAATATAAAACAAGGTATAATGTGTATAAACCTTAGTCATTTTGATTATTTGAGTTATTGATAGGTTTAAGTATTTACTTTTCTAATGGTTCACAAATAATTTTTATATCTTTCAATTACATGTATCTCAATGAAAGCCATCACTTAATTATACAATTATTGCAAAACTAGATCACTTTGGTGGAACAAGCGTAGAGACATGAAAAGAAACATATTGCTAAAGTCATCTATGAAAGTCCAAAATTTTCTCTAGGCATTTGTAAATATAACTACATCATGTCGATCTTAAAAAACACAAATGAACTAGCCTCTACATCATTCAAGAAACAAAACAAATGATTAAATGAAAAGAACAATCAACATAAAAAATATTCAATTGAATCTGCCAAGTATTTTCCTACATGCAAACTACCAATAATACAGAGAATAGTATAACTCTCTGGGTCGTTCCGCTTCTCGGATAGTTTGTTCTGCAGGATGGCAGAACACTCCTCATTCAGTATCATTGTCAACATTTCCCCATGTTTCTTCTTATTGGTGAGGAGATTCTTCATAAACTTGACATCTTTGGGCATCTTTGACTGTGCCTCCATGAATGATAGGTTGATGTGTACCTGCTTCAACATTGCTATAAATGGTCAATTCAGCCTCTAGTATGTCCTTATGCATCCTAGTGCGGAAAAGAAGTTGAGGGACATGCTCCTTCACCATGGGTTGTGGCTTGGAAGCAGACACTTCTTATTCATTATCCACTTCATTGTCAGAGGCTGGAACTATAGGAGTAGAATGCTCTTCCTCAGTTGTTGCAAAAGCAGGAATATTAATAGTCTTCTTCCCACTCTTAAGAGATATGACCTTCAAATGGGCATGGGCAAGGGGATCATGAGGATTAGGTACCGTGTTAGCAGGAAAGGCACCCTGGGGTATGTTGGCAACTGTTTGAGCCACATTCATGATCTAGGTGGATAAATACTGTAATATTGCTTGTTGGTGTCTCTTGCTAGCCTCAATCTCAGAATTTCCCAACAACTAAGTCCATGAATTGGTCAATCTTACTAAAATTCTGGGTACTAGTGGTAATGAAGTTGGTAACTAGTTCCTCTATCTTCGACAACATGTCAGGAGGAGGGCTGTATAGGTGTTGCGGGACCTTGGAGCTGTTGCTGCTGCTACAGGTAGCCACCACCTTGATTCTACTGTTGAAGCTGGTAGGGACGACGCTGCTGATACCCTGCAGTCGGTGCCTGAAAATGGGGTGGCTTAGGATTCGTGGGGGCATCCCACAAGAAATTGGCATGTTGGCTCCACTTGGATTATAGGTGTCGCTATACAGGTTGTTGCCTCGCCGACTATTTGAAATAAAATCCAGCTTCTCCTGCTGGGCCGTGCTTTCCATCATGATATGGAAATCCTTCACAACATGAATCGGGCTCTGACACTAGTCATACACCATCACCTATGTATTTCCTCCACCAAAAACGAGGTTGCTAGACCGCATCATGGTTTGTACGAGCTCAGCAACTTGCTCCTATAGAGTCACCCTAGACTTTGTAGCATGGACACCCTTTGCCTTCAAGCTTCTTCCTCCCCTGAACTGAAAGTGCCCCATTCATATCCTTGGGTAGCCATGTTCTCGAACAACTGATTCGTCTTAGGTGGGGTCTTGCTGAGTATACCTCATAGACAGAAAGAGTCAATGAGCTGCCTGTCCTCTTTAAAAATGGCCTCAAAGAAGTTCCCCTCAAGTTATGGGTCATCGAGCCATGACGAGGACACTTTAGGAGGAGGCCAATGAACCTCTCCCTGGCAGCCTAGAGAGACTCGTCCTCGTCCTGCTCAAAGCGAGTGATCTCCTTGTGAAGGGCGACAATCTTGGATGGGGGAAGTAGCGACCCACAAACTTGGTACTCAGATCTGCCCATGAAGTGATGGACTCAGGTGCATGATGCTCGAGCCATCTTTTCTCCCTTCCTTCAAGAGAGTAGGGGAATAGCTTAGCTTGATCACCTCCTATAGGACTTCATTAAGCTTAATACTGTATACCGCTCCATAAAAGCAGTTGAAGTGGTCCCTCATATCTTTGTTGGCTATACCACTGAATTAGATAGAAAACTAAATCAACTAAATCCAGCTCATCTTCACCTTGAAGTTTTTCATGGCCACATGAGAGTGCCGGATGTTGGGATGGATGTTCGTAACCCTGGGGTGAACTAGTATCCCATATTATGGTCCTGCTGCGGTAGCAGTTAAGCTCCATTGTTTGGCAGGGCTGAAGGTGAGGCTATGGTAGCGGCTGCTCATTATGGAGGCCCTTGATTTGGTTTAGGTGGACTTCCATGACTCTTGCTTCAACAAATTCCTCGTCATATTTAAATCTTTCCTTGACTAGAGGGGGATCCAGGTCTAATTCTGCTTCTGAACCAATTCCAGCCGTTGGCTATAATTCATACACTACCTGCACACGCTCAAGAAAGACGCTCATCAAACGCTCATGGATCAAAAAGTACAAATGCAAAAAATTAAAAATGAAGTAACAATCAATCACTTTTCCAACTAATCTAGCAGACCCTAACAACGACACGTGTACTCTCATCGACCCGACCTACCGTGACCCGCCTCATTCTCTACCAGTTCTTGCCTAAATACATGTAATCTTAGTCAAATTACTTAGGATGTTTCTTTTATTACATAATATTTTAGCTATAATAAAGTTATAAATTAGTGAAATTTTCAATTTCTCTAATAATTTAACTACATTTATCATATTATGGTTTGTTTCTTGGTGAAAATAATGAATATTTATAATGTTTTGCATATAAATTACATACTCATTGTGCCGACCTGCCCTGACCCCCGCCTCATGATAAATTACCCAAGATGAACCTGACCTACGACGTGGTGGGTATGAGTATCGAGATTCGGACCTACCCATTGCCATTCCTAGGCCCTACATGTAATCAAGGTACCACCTCAGCAAATTATCAGAGATATTACAAGTCATCGTCAAGACTCAAACCGACGACCACGAAAGTCAAAGTGGATCGACGAAGTTTAGAGGAGGTTATCAATCGTTAGTTTTATTCTCAATGTTTAGACTTTAGTTTGAATTGTTATGTTTTATGTTTATTATGTCTCCAAATGCAAGTTTGCATATGTTGTCTTGTTGTGCAAAGTTTTGCTTATTTAAACCAAAGGATGAATGCGAAAGACACAAGATTCTAGGGTTCCATTTTCCACATCTCATGTCTTTCATTACAAATAGCAAAGATTTGGCATCAAGGCCAACATGGTGGACAGTGGCGGATCTAGGGGGTGGCCATCCCGGGCCACGACCCAACCCTCATCTTGATCCGGAGCTAGTCTAGCCCTTATGAGTTGGTTGGTTTTAGTCATTCAGCTCAGTGTTATTTTATAATAAAATTGTGTAATTAGAAAAATAGGTAAGACGAACATATTCAAATTACACTCTAAGTTTAGTCTAGAAATTCTAGCTACAATGATTCTCGTCAAAAGAAAAACAAACAATAAAATCTAAAAGTCTAAAACGTAAAAAACGTAAAAAAACTAAAAGAAATATGAGGTTTATTCACTTTAAAAATCACTAGAGCAACTAGTGGAACATGGAAATAAGAATGGACACACAAATACAAATTGATTAGTTGATTGATTTGTTTAGTGTTGACATTACTCGTTTCAACAACTACTATGGAGAAAACCTTTTCAACAATGGAACGGGTGAAAACTAATTTCAACAACAAAATGAGCGATGAATTTCTCGCCGATTATCAGCTATTTTATTTGCTCTACAATGTGGAGAATCCGCCGCTGATGTTGAAACAACCAAGCTACCTGCCTCTGTTTCCACATTCGACCTCTCCTAACATTCATCACTGACCTCTCCTAACATTCATCACTGGCACCACTACATACGGTGCCTCTACCTCGCCGCCGCCATCTTCTTTGCTCTTCCTCAACTTGTTCTCCATCAACCATGCATAGCAAATCGCTGCCCACCATTGAACTTGTACCTAAAATCCCATAATGCATTACAAACCTTGCCTATTCGATTAACCTTTTTTGCAAATTTCTCTTTTCTTTGGCTATAAGGGAGTTTTTTTTTTCTACATACAGTTTCAAGGTTCAGAGAGGATGAGCTTGGCCTTCCCGTCAATATCTTTGTTCATAATCTGCTCAATCTTGGCCCTCTGCTTTTTCAAGAACCCATTCAAACTCATCTCTTGTTGCTCCCCGCCTAGTTCATCCTCCTGCCCGCTCGAATTGGGAGCGATTTTCTCGATGGAACAGGTGGATCTCGAGATTGACCTCTGGTGAGCAGACTCGACGAGATTCTTTGGCGGAGAAAGCACCTGCTGACCGGTAGACTCTGGCAGCGGAGCCTGCTTGAACCTTCTAGGAATATCCTGCGGTAATGAAGCTTGAGGTGGCGGCAATGGAGGCTGCGAAGGCTTCGGTTCAGATCGGAAGCGAGCCTTCCTGTTGGTCGATTGCGGCGGAGGCAACAGAGGCGACCCTGAATCGTTATTACTGTTTGGTGATTGGTATTCAGGGGAAGACCCATTTGAAGTTGGGGGCTTGAGATTCTTGGAGATCCACTTGTGGACTTGTGATGCAGGGGACGAGTCAACTACCGATTCGGACCCGGTTGACCCGTTCCTGCTGTGCCTCGCGGATCTCGTTAGGATCTCTTCACTGAAACCTTCCGTTGCTCTGTTCCTGGCAAAAAAACAGGGGATTGGAAATTCGACAGAGATAGTCAATGTCCGCCACGAGATCAATCAAACTATGTAACGTGATGGAGATTTAAGTGGCCATAACATTGATACCTTCTGGCGGATCGGGAAAGAGGGTCTCTCTTGTCAAGAATCGAGCCGGTCGAAAGTCTAGCGCTAGCAGGGGAGTCGCAGTGGGATAGAGAGGAAGCGACCATCCGCCTGGCCTCGTGCAGCCATTCCTGAGTCAACTTGCTGCTGTCGCTCCTGATGCTGTCGTCGAATCCTCGCTCCTCGTCGTCGTCATTGTCTTCCCATCGGTTTCCGGTCAGGTTGTAAGGCTTCTTATGGCTATCGTTATGGAGTGTTCCGAATAACATGTCGTTCATGAAATCAGTCAGGTCAGGGGAAGGCATGCCAGCTGATTTGGTGTGCTCTGCCGCCGGCGCCGGCGGCTTCTTGTGGTGGCTGGTCATGGAGCTTCTGGCTGATCCACCGGTGAATCTCGCCCGATCCATTTTGGGTGGAAAGATTTGAGGGGCAGGGGGGAAGAGAACTAAACAAGGGGGTGGGGATGGGAGAGTTTTGTGAATGAAGGAAACCGTGCCGTGTGCCATTGGGATTGTCGCGGGGGTCTGAGTTCAATGATCGGCCGGCGAATTGGCCGGCCGTTCTGTCTTGTTGTGAGGATCAACTTGGCTCTGCCTTCCCTTTCCTATTTTAGAATATCTTCTTCTTCTATACTCGGACGTTCCTGCAATCGGTATATTTGGCATTCGAGATCGTTTTCGGACGGGTGAATTGCAAGTTTGGTTACTCATATTATCTATTTGTAACACTTTAGCCACCCGAATCACATTCCTTTCAATTCAGTCATTGATACTACATGTTTATAACATCTTTGGTCACCCACTGTCTAGTTCCGTTAAGTCTATCCTACGTGGCGGTCAACAATTATGTTTAACTGTTTGACAATTAAAAATACATAAATAATAAATATTTTTTTTATACTTTTACAACTCACAAGTCACAACCGGTTGTAGGTGTCGGCCATTCTTCCTCAGACTTCTTTGTGGCGGCGTAGAGGCTCGCTGGCTGGTCGAACAAGAACTTGTCATTCGCCAGACGGACCTCGACGATGTCCAGAAGATCGTCGGTCCTTCCCATCTCCGACACCCGTTCTTGGTGTAGTTCCCATCGCAGACTTGTGGGTCCATTGCAATCACCGTGATTGTCCCAGTTTGGACCTGAATCTCGCCGTCCAATCTCGAATGCGAAGAGCTGAACTAAGAAACAGAGGAGGTTAAGTAATCCTCGCCGGGTGGGTTCGGGACGCCGGATACCTTTGGGATTCATCAACCCCTTTCCACCTAGGTCGAGATTCTGGAACTTACTGAGCGCTAATAAACTGCCCAATTCGCACAAAAGCGAGGAATCCGAGACCACCGATCGTGGCGATTACAGGTCCAAAAAGCAAGTGCAGGAGGTGACCGTGCCACCTTTGATGTCGATAATGACGAGAGATCACAGATCTGGAGGAGCCCGCAGTAGAACGGTGGCCTGAAAGGGGATGGTGGTCGTGGCGAGGGCGCTCAATCGCCTGGCGGGCGACTTTGGTCCCTGGGTTTGTGTGATCGGTGCCAGAGGGAACAACAACGGGGATCTGGCAATGGAAGAGGGAACGGTTGCTTTAATCGCTACCGGGGGGAACGCCGGCGTGAGATCTGGAGATGGCAGAGGGAACGGTTAATTTTCTTTCTTTCTTTGGAACCCATCGTTCTCCACTTCCCGACCGGCGGTGGAGGAAGCGGTGGAGGCGTGGGCGCCAGGGGAGGAGGATTGATGTGATGTAGGGCAATGACGATGGTGTTGGGGCGGTGGTGATTTCTTGGAAGTGGCCACGACGACCACAGTGGAGGGAAGATTTAGTTGTCCAAGTATAAAAAATATTTATATTTATTATTGATTTATTTTTAATAGCAACATCAGCATTTTAACAGTCAATCATAATTGGTGACTGCCATGTAGGACAAACTTAACAGAACTAGACGACGAGTGACCAAACATGTCATAAACGTGTAGTATTGATGGCTGAATTAAAGCGAAAATGATTTAGGTGGCTAAAGTGTTACAAATAGATAATATGAGTGACCAAACTTGCAATTCATCCGTTTTCGGACAAAACGAAAAGAATTAGTTATAGCAAAGTAGTAAAGTTAGAAAATTTAATGGCCGTTTTTCGAAGAAAACTTGTTTAGTTACAATTTTTGGTGAGTTAGGTAACTGAATTTTGAAAATGAAAATCTATTTAGTTACTGTAACATCCCGAACCTTTTTCCGACAATATACTGTCCGCTTTGGACCTCTACACTCGCCCGGTTTCGACTTGGGGTGCAATTCAAGGTGACTTCCCATAAGGTCACACATACTTGTTATACTCCACAATAAGCACGTTTAACTTCAGAGTTCTCACAAGAACTCCTCCATTACACCCCAAAATGCGTCTTGTCAGTTAATGTCGGTTTTCTACTTATGAACCATGCATCTCTCCCGTGCTTTGTCGATGTGGGATTCGCCTAAGGTGTTACATACGCTCTAATATCACTTGTAACATCCCGAACCTTTTCCCGACAAGATACTGTCCGCTTTGGGCCTCTACACCCGCACGGTTTTTGACTTGGGGTGCAATTCAAGGTGACTTCCCATAATGTTACCCATCCTTGTTGTACTCCACACTGAGCACGTTTAACTTCGGAGTTCTCACAAGAACACCTCCATTACACCCCAAAACGCGTCTTGTCAGTTAAGGTCGGTTTCCTGCTTATGAACCATGGATCTCTCCCGTGCTTTGTCGATGTGGGATTCGCCTAAGGTGTTACAATTACTCTATACTATTTTTTGGTACTCGATTATCACAATTTTTTTCATTTCAGTATTACATAACTCTAGAAAAAGAAAACTATTTGAGATGAATACATGTAAGGTGTTACGTTGGTTATCATATGATTTATTATTTCTGATTTGTGATGAATTGACTACCCTCAAAATACTAAACATAACCTAAAAGCTTAACTCAAATTAAATGGACATATAAGAATGTTGGAATTCAGTAGCATGTATGATATGGATGCATTTTTGGAAGTGAAGAAACTATCAGTGGCGATATATGGCTCTTGTTCATTCTGGATGTTAACAGGTGTAACCTATGCAATCGGTATATGAAATCAATAGCTGCATGCCCAATTGAGAACATTCAAGGCAGTGGCCAACGGGGATCACCATCTAATTCATCTTTCTTTCCATCTGTGTTTTGGTAAAAGGCAAAAAGTAATCAGAAAGAAGAACAGGCCAAAAGAGGGATTGAATGGCTGGTTTTGGTGGCGCTAACCAAGTGAGGTAAGATTACAATTCACCCTCCTTCCATCAATTACAGGGGATGGGTTTTGACAAGTTCTAATTGATTAATCACAAAGGCGGAACAACAAACGCAGCTAATTAAAGGCAACCACGAGAAGAGAAGAAAGGAAGAAAAAAACAGCCTTCTGGGGAAAAGTCAAAAGAGGATGAGCGCCATATCGAGACTGAACTGAAGTGGGCGATTAATTGGATAAATTGGTGGAAATCGATCAATTGGGTTCAGCGACATGGTATGTGGGATTGATGGGGGAGAAGGAAGAAGGTCACCTACTGGAGGAAAGTCGATGGGTGAGCTACAAGGGAAAGAAGCATAGTGGGGATGAAAGTCGACGTAGGAGAAGAGGAAGAAAAGTCAAAAGAAAAAAATTGGGTCGCGGGATTTGAATCCCCGACCTCATTAAAACACTTCAGCTAAAATCGAGAAAAAAAAACTATTTCATGAAAACAACTATTTGTTGTTTCCCGCAAGAAGGGCTGCAAATGAGTCGAGTCGAAACGAATTTTACCCCAACTTGAGTTCGGCTCGTTAATAAACAAGTCCAGCTCGAGCTCGACTCGTTTATTAACGAGTCGAGGTTGAGGTAGCTTGTTTAATAAAATCTTGACTCGTATTTGATATATTCATTTTGTATGTAATGCATGATACATGTGATTAATGTCAAGATGAAAAATAAATTTATAATAGTTAAGTGTTTAATATTAACTAATCTCATGTTATACTTTGTGGTAGCAAATTATTTAGTTAATGAATTTTAACTAGTGAAAGTTATGTTATATCATAGTATCGAAACAATCTATGATACATATTTTTTTTAAAATTAAATAAGACATATTTGTTCACATAATCTATGTGTTAAACTATATATAGGATGAGATATATAATTTAACAATCCTATAAATTATCGAAATCAAACTCATATAGATCGATTAGCTCATAAGTAGGTTATTGAGTTGGGTCTCTTGCACATCTCATGAGCTCTAAACGAGCCAACTCACGAGTTGGGCTCAACAAACCACTGAGTTGGGTTACCTCGCAAGTTTCGCGAGCTGTATAAGGGTTAGCTCAAACTCGGCTTGTTAGTAAACGAGTCGAGTTTCGAATGAGTTTTTCCAGAGTCGAATGCCAAGCCGCTCGGCTCACTTGCAGCCTACCCGCAAGCTACCGTATTGGTTGCCCCATGGTTTCCCAAATGAAAATAGTTTTCCCATGTGCACACAAGTGAACACGGTTTTTCTTTTATGTTTACAGATTTTTGTTGTGGCAATGAAAAACCGGGAATGAAATGGAAACTGAACATAGTTGTTTGATATGAATGATTTGCATCTTGATTTTTTGAACAAAGGAAATTACACGGTTCACACTTCTCAAAATAATGTTTGAATGAGGGTGTTTAATGCTTTTTAATGGCTGAGAAAACTAAGTTAAATTACTATACACCTATGGAGGTTCACTTACAGCTTCAGAAACTAAAAGCTATAACTAAGGCTAAATTGCAAATAAAGGATAAAGTTTGACATTGGGTGTGAACTTTTGGTTTTGGAAACCTTTTACAATTTTTGTTTCTCTTATTTATAGCCATCAGATGCAAATGACCTGGTAACTGCCAACGTACTTGTTGCTCCAACCGCCTCGGGGACCTCATCGCCTCCTTGATGACTAGTTGGTAGCTTTCGTCTTGGTTTTCACTCCTATCACCTTGGGGTCCACTTGTCCCATCTTGGTGACTGGTTGATACTTGATGGCCTCAACCTCGTGCCGGGTTGGTGATTAGTCTTGTCTCCTTTTTCTCACTCGATAGGGTCGAAGTTTTTTGCCTTCGTCTCCACGATGAAGTTTCGATCACACCCTTCAAACCCCCCCCCCCCTCCCCCGGCCCGATGACTCCACACTTAGCTTTTGTTTATCTTGTCTTGCTATCTTCGACTTGCTAGCCACATCGATGAACGTCTTGATATCCAAGGCTTATTACCCACCTTGACAAGATGAGAACTTAGTCCCTATGTCGTACTAAATAAGCCCATTTATCAGCTCATTAGCAAGTCCATCTCATTGGCTTGGTACCTTGGTTGATCAACCCCAACCACTGTGATTCGATACATA